GAATGCTTTCCAGTATCCCCAGTTCCCATCACACTATCCAAGGCTGTGGGAAGCCTGGAACACTCCCCAAACATCTCCTCCCCAACTTGGGACACTGTCCTCTAAAGAGCGGGGGTGGGTAGAGACCCACCAGGTGCAAGGCCAGCTGACCTAGCTCTCCAAATACAACAAACCCTCTGAAGTTAACTCAAAGATTACTTTATTAGGAGCGCCAGCAGCCCCGGCAAAAAGTTTCTCTCTCAACGCAGGCTAACAAATCTGTCTGGCAGGGAGATGAATAGTTGTCTGCCACATCTATTCATCTCCGCCCCCTGCCTTTTACCCCCAGAGCGGGTTACTTTTACTCCTAGGGTGGGGCTTCGCTAGCAGCGGTGGCTCTTCCGTCCCAAGGATCAGCCCACGGATTTCCACTGCTCTCCTCTCTTCTGCCTTCTGCTCATCCACGCGTCAGGCACTGGACCCAGCTGTTCCTCCTCTTCCTCGTCAGCCACCTCCAGACCTGGGGGCTGTTGACTCTCCATCTGAGGGCTAACGGACGGCCCAGGCTCTGTCTCTCTCTCTCTCTGACAGCTCCATTCCCTCTTCCCCCTCAGAGCTCTCAGGTTGCCTTGATGCTGATCCTGACTCCCACGCCTCCTCCTTCTCTGATTCAGTTGCTAAAGGGGCTGGCAGCCGAAAGGCCACAACAGCTGGCCTTTTAGGCTGTCTTTAAGGCAAGCTATACTCCTGGACGCTATTTTTAACACAGTCCGGCTGTCCTGAGTGAGATGCAGAACAAGGAGGAAGGTGTGTAATGACTAGCAATTAAGATGCACATCAAGAACTCTGGCTGTTGAAGATGGTGGTTTTAAGAAAGAACATATGCATTGGCTTGCGTTCCTGAGTTGAATCAGGAAGAGTTTACACACTGCAGAAGGTTTGGTGGTTTGAAGGTAAATCAGACAACTTTTGCTGAAAATCACTGTTGGGCATGATCTGGGGGGGAAATGCTCTAGATTCAAAGAGGAAGGTATACCACAGAATGCGGTCCACTCTGGGGAGTTTATTTCTTCCGCCCCATCCAGAGAAAAGCAACAGCTGGAAAAACTCATAGAGGGTAATTTACATCAAAATCTATAAGCCCTTACAGGCAGAGGTGGGTTTCAGCAGGTTCTGACCAGTTCTGGAGAACCGGTAGCGGAAATTTTGAGTAGTTCGGAGAATCGGTAGTAAAAATTCTGACTGGCCCCACCCCCATCTATTCTCTGCCTCCTAAGTCCCAGCTGATCGGGAGGAAATGGGGATTTTGCAGTAACCTTCCCCTGGATTGGGGCAGGAATGGAGATTTTACAGTATCCTTCCCCTGCCACACTCACCAAGCCATGCCACGCCCACCAAGCCACACTCACAGAACCGGTAGTAAAAAATTTTGAAACCCAGCACTGCTTACAGGTAGTCCTCGATTTAGAACAGTTCCCTTAGTGGACCGTTCAAGGTTACGTCACTGAAAAAGTGACATGATCATTTTTCATCCTTACGGTCATTTGCAGCATCCCCATGACCACATGATCAAAATTCAGATGTCTGGCAACTGACTCACATTTATGTCGGTTGCAGTGTCCCAGGATCGTGTGACCCCCCCACTTTTGCGACCTTCTGACGAGCAAAGTCAATGGGGAAGCCAGATTCGCTTAACAACCCTGTCACTACCTTAACAACTGCCTGAGTCACTTAACAACTTTGGCTAGAAAGGTTATAAAATGTGCCCAAACTCACTTTAACAACTGTCTCACTTAGCAACATAAATTCTGGGTTCAATTGTGGTGGTAAGTCGAGGACTACCTTTATTTAACTCTAAATCAGGAAACAGGCATCGTGCAACACACATGCCGTATATTAATCCAGCATTATCGAATGCTACATAACCAGGCAGAAAATACTAAAGCGACAAGAAGTAGTAACAAAAACGAAACAAAGCAAGATCATTGGCTGCATCAGTGGTGGGTTCCTCCCGGTTCGGCCCAGTTCCGCTGAGCCAGTAGCAGTGACGATATTACATCACCGAACCGGTTCTGCCCCCCCCCTGCATTATTCGTACCTTTTATTTGGCCCCACCCCCAATCTATTGCTGCCTCCTGAGTCCCAGCTGATCGGCTAGAGGGGAAAAAACTGTTTAAACTCTTGCCGCGGGGCTTCAAAGGACCGCCCTACAGCTGATCAGTGTTAAAAGAAAACAAATGAGTAGACCGGTGCCTGCAAAAACAAATGAGTAGAGCGGTGCCTGGAAAAATAAATGGGTAGACCGGTACAGCTCTGCAAGCAGTTAAAAGCCTGGTAGACCAGTATCTCTGCTAAATCCTAAAGAATTGTCACATGACCATCAAGCCACGCCCACAAAATAAGCCACGCCCACAGAACCAGTAATTAAAAAAATTAGAACCCACCCCTGGGCTGGACCTATCCTAAAATAGGGAGGAAGAGATAGAAAGGCTGAAGTTTGGCATCTCTACCCAGAAATAACCATGCTAAGTTTGCTAAAGAATGCGTCCAAGAAAGTGAAAATAAATACAGAACAAAAACCACTTGCTTCTTTTGAATCTGCTTGTTTAAGTAAAAGAGTAGGGGGAGGGGGTGAAATCAGCTGTCCATCAAATCCTGAGAACCCACAGAAAACTCTTGGAATCTCAAGCAAGCATCTGCAACATTATGGATTCTTCATACAGTAAACAGCTACTCCCCAGGGTACAACTCTCCTGCGCAGAATCACTTGTGCAAAGAAAAAAAAAGAGGTGATTGTGCAGGGGAAGAGCCAGTTCCTGGCATTAATATATTATCTGCCAAGACAGAAAACTGCTGCTGATGCAAATGGTTAAAAGAAACGAAAGGTTTCGAAAAAACAAGGCTTGAGCTTTCCAATGTCCACCGCAATCAGCATTTCTAACTGCATTCCAACTCAAAGGATAATTACATCTCCTTCCAGCCTAGGTTTTCAACCATGGTTCCAAATGCAGAAGCTAACCACGAAATAGGACAAAGCGAGCCCTGGAATTGTCGGTAGGAAATGTTAAGGGGATTTTGGAAGAATAGAGAACCACCTGGCTCCCCTTGATTAAAAAAAGGAGTGTCGAACTCAAGGCCCGCAGGCCGAATCCGGCCCATGGGGTGCTTAGATCTGGCCTGCAGAACCGCCCTGGAAACAGCGAAAGACCGACCCGCGGGGCCTCTGCCAGTGAAAACAGAGCTTGGGAGGCTCTCGCGAACCCTGTTTTCGCTTTTTTTCAAGAGGCCGTCAAAGCCAAAAACGGAGCTCACACGACCGTGCGTGGCCCTCCCGAGCTCCGTTTTCACTGGCAGAGGGTTGCAGAAAGCTATCCCAGTCAAAAACGGAGATTGGGAGCCCATTTTCGCTGGCAGAGTGCTCAGGCCACCACAGGCGCCCCCAACACGAGTGATGTCATGCTGGCCACGCCCCCTGCCCCCCACCAAGGTGAAACACAATTCTGATGCAGCCCTCAATGAAATCAAGTTTGATACCCCTGTTCTACATCGTGCTACGAGAACTCCAAAGATGTTAATTTCTTGCCTTGCTTGGGAACCTCATTGAATGGAATTATTTATACACATTAAATCTAACCTGGCTTCCCTCCCTTGAGGTACAACTGACTCCTCAGGATTCAAATTATTGCTGTTGTTAATTACTGGTGGAAATAACTTCAGGTCTCAGTCCTCGAAAGCAGAAAGAACAGCTGATACCCACATAGAAAGACTACAGGTAGTTCTCAACTAACAACAATTCGTTTAGTGAGCACAGTTATAACGGCACTGAAAAAAGTCACTTATGACCGGTTTTCACATTTACGACCATGGCAGCATCCCCATGGTCACGTGATCAAAATTTGGGCCCTTGACAACTGGCTTGTATTTATGGCAGTTGCATGGTTCCAGGGTCATGTGATCACCGTTTGTAACCTTCCCAGCCAGCTTTCGACAAGTGAAGTAAATGGGGGAAAGCCAGATTCGCTTAAAAACTGCAATGATTCGCTTAGTGTGGCAAAACTGAGGCAAAACTCACTTAACAACTGCCTTGCTTAACAACAGAAATGTTGGGCTCAACTGTGGTTATGAAGTTGAGGACAACCTGCACCTGTGTTAAGTAACACCACCCATTCACCTATCTCAATTTTATCTGAATTGAACTGTCATGGCTTGTAGACAGAATTGCTTTTTCCCTTCATTTCTATCTGGAGAAACTAAGGACTGATTTAAAGACTTCTTTTATTCAAAATTTGTGTTCTATTATCCAGCTGCAATTTTTCTCTATCTTTTTCTCCTTGTTCCCCTACTTTTAGATACGATAGTAATGGACCACAAAGAAGCTTGCTGAAGAGGTTCGCGGGTTGATGTTCCCTCCCATCCCTTCTTGTGCGATTTCCTAAGATGGCTAGAATCTCTTGTACTGCCAACCATGAAAAATTCGATGGAAGAGGCTACGTTGAAAGCACACGTTAGCAGTCAGCTTAAAGTATGCAGGAGTTGACTGACAGAAAAGTGAAAACTGAGGAGAATAACCCCCTAGCAACTTAAAATGCTTAAATTTGACAGCAAAATGGCGGAATATGCCAGTTTTTCAAAATATTGGATGGAAAAGGAAGATGGGAAGGGCTTGTAGGATTTTTGTGGAATGAATGTAAAAGGCCTTTCATAGCCAGCGCTACCCTTTTTAGTGATGTTACCACACATCGTTCAATGGCTTGCTGTAGCCACTGGAAGGTAATGAGTCCCCAACCCTCATTCGGCTTCCTTCCTATAGAGCAGGAATATGGAACGATGGCCCTTTTATGACTGGTGGACTTCAACTCCCAGAATTCCTGAGCCATGCTGGCCCAGGAATTCTGGGAGTTGAAGTCCACCAGTCAGGAAAGGGCCATCGTTCCACTCCCCTGCTGTAGAGGAAGCCGAATGAGCCAAACAACAAAGCAAAGCAATATTTAGACATGAGTCACATTAAGAACATGGCATACCTTTGTGTCTAAAGGCAGGAAAAGGAGATCAGGACCTTTAAAATGTTGGCGCTGGGCCACCTATGGATGGGAAGACTTGAAGCTCTGCAGTTAAATGCCAACTCCTCCTGCCGCTCTCCCTCCTTAGGCTTTCTTGTTTGTAGAATCTCCGCTTCATCTGGAGCTCAGAGGAAAGGCAGTACAGGGAGACTTTTGATCCCCAGTTTCACACCTGAGAAAACAAGAAAGATTGGTTTGAGCTTTCTCCTAACCATAAAGTATGAAGGAATAGGGAGCAACCACACTAAAAAAAACTGAAGCCAATATTGTTGATAGATAATTGTCTACATCAGGGGTATCAAACTCAAGGCCCATGGGCCGCATCTGGCCCACAGGGTACTTGATCTGGCCCACAAGGCCACCCTGGAAATGGCAAAGGAACGGCCTGTGGTGCCTCTGTCAGCAAAAACAGAGCTTGGGGGGGGGGCGAGGAAAGAAGGAAGGAAGGAAGGAAGGAAGGAAGGAAGGAAGGAAGGAAGGAAGGGAGGGAGGGAGGGAGGGAGGGAGGGAAGATTATAATGAGAGGGAGGGTGGGTCTGAAGAAAGTCCTGCCTTAGCACTTGGCCACCACAGGTGCCCCTGACACGAGTGATGTCAAGCTGGCCACACCCATCCCGGCCATGGCCCCAATGGCCGCCCTGAGGTCAAACACAACCCTGATGCGGCCCTCAATGAAATTGAGTTTGACACCCCGGTCTACATCATATCCTAACTCTCCATTCCATAACTTTCTGCTAGATCCCACTGAATCCAGTTGATTCCTTGTCATGACGCAGACAAGACTAGAGTATGTAGTATTAATGGCAATGCGGAAGTAACACAAATGCAGAAGTAATTTTCCATGGCTGCCTTCAGGACAAGGTTCATTGGGTGTTGCCAAATGGAAAATGAAAGTTCAGAGAGCAGAGACAATCACCATCTACATCCCCGTCTATTTCATGCATATCTCAGCCTATTTCATGTACCAACTACCCGTGTTTCCCCGAAAATAAGACCGGGTCTTATATTAATTTTTGCTCCAAAAGATGCATTAGGGCTTATTTTCTGGTTAAGTCTTACCACTCTAAACTCAATTGCAGAAAATGTGACTTCAGTAACAGAGTGATCAATGCCTGGAATGGACTACCTGACTCTGTAGTTTCTTCCCCAAGCCCCCAAAACTTTAACCTTAAACTGTCTACTGTTGACCTCACACCATTCCTAAGAGGTCTGTAAGGGGCATGCATAAGCGCACTAGCGTGCCTACCGTCCCTGTCCTAATATTCCTTTTTACTTACTCTTTTCATGTATTCAAATTATGTTTATACTTTTACCTGTTATCTTATATATGCTTGACAAATAAATTTATGATTATAAATGCATCCATCTGGCTGATGATCATAACTGGGGTTTATTTTGGGGGTAGGGCTTATATTGCAAGCATCCTGAAAAATCATGCTGGGGCTTATTTTCTGGTTGGGTCTTATTTTCAGAGAAACAGTACACAGAGGCCAGGTTTTTAAAACTTAATATTTAAGGGAAGAAAGTGAAATAAACTGTTTTACTGTTGCTATTTTAGGCAATTGGAACTCAAAAACTATGCAATTACAACTTATATAGAGATCTCCTTTAGACACGCAATATCTTTTCTATTGTATATTACCTATACAGTAATCCTCAACTTACAATTGAGCCCAGACTTTCCATTGCTAAGCAAGCCAATTGTTAAATGAGTTTTGCCCCATTTTACAGTTGTTAAGTTAGCAGCACAGTTGTTAAGTGAACTTGGTTTTCCCATTGACTTCATTTGTTAGAAGGTTGCAAAATATGACCTCAGGTACAACTGTCATAATACATGCCAGTTGCCAAGCATCCAAATTTTGATCACATGACCACAGGGATGCTTTAAGGGTCATAAGTGTGAAAAACATCATAAATCATTTTTAGTGCAACTTCAAATGGTCACTAAATGAATGGCTATAAGTCAAGGACTACCTAAATACTAAAATGATGTCAGTTACATTACTCAATTCATGAAAATGTTGGAAGTTTTGGAGTTGCTTAAAAGGAAGAAAACAACCCAGCCGAAAAACTGAAGATTTAAAGAAAAGGGGAGAAACAGCAAAACAAATGAGGAAGGAAATTTACCCACGATCACACCACTTTTTCCATCCTTCTTTTTACTTCACTTGAAAAACTCAGTGGCATATGTGATCAGGAAAATAAGATATCGTAAACTTGATGTTTAACAAACTCAATGTCACTGAAATATTTCTAGTGAAAATATTCAACAAACAAGGTATAAAATCTGCCAGAATCTACATTTTGATGGCAGAAAGAGGAAAGTAAGGAAACCAAATGATTTTGTATCGAAGTTATTCACAACCACATTCACACAAAACTCTCTTCTTTCAGAATGACTTATTTCTCAGCGGGGTTGAGAACTATAGCTTTATTGTGCAACCTCGTTAATTGTGGCTTCTAATGGAAGGATTCTGCATTAAGAAAAGAAATCTCTTTGTATATTAGATGCAACGATGCTTCTAATTTGGTCCCTGGTTTTGTATAGAAGAGGATATATGCTTTCACTGTGCCTCCATCATTCTCTTGAGCTGGCTTCTGTGAAATGTCTACGCAAATCTTTTAAGAACAACGGAGGACAATCTCTCTGGTTTCTGCATTAGTCAGACTTCCTTTTGGCTAGAGTAAATCTAATTAGACTTATTCTATAAAGTGCCCATAATTGAGTTGGATGGCAACAGGAAACAGACTGTACTGAAAATATAGCACACAAAAATTCTGCAAATGAACTGGCACTGTAGAACAATGATTGACTATGCTTTCCGCAAGGTGGATGGCAAGATTCTGGATGTAATGGCTTATGTATATAGCCATAATCATAGACTTTGGCCCAGTTACTATAATCATAGACTTTGGCCCAGTTACTATTCTACAGCCCAATCTTACAGAATTGCTCTTCTACAATGTATATCCCCAATGTTCACCATCTTTAGTTCTCACTCTAAGGCAGAATACAAATAAAATAATATTAGAATTTGACAGAGCCGAGGACATAGTGAAGGGAGCGATGATAGCTTGGGCAAAAAACGTAGGACATAACATCAAATTAGAAGATTGGGAAATTATTTGGAACAGAAATTATAAAATAACAAAATCAGCAAAACATAAAGAAAATCAATACAAAATGTTTTATCGCTGATATTTGGCACCTTCAAGATTGGCAAAGATATATCCAAATTTAACCCCAAACTGTTGGAAATGTGGACAAAAGCAGGGTACCTTCTTTCATGCATGGTGGTTATGCCCAGAATCGAAAAAATATTGGAAAAAAATACAAAACTGGTTATAGGAATTAACTGGCGTCCAAATAGAATACACTCTGGAACTGTCTCTTCTGGGGATAACGGGAAAAAAAATACAACAAAAAAACAACGTACATTATTCTACATATAATAACAGTGGCAAGACTACTTTGCACAGTGTTAAGAGCCTTGGTAGTACAGTGGTCTAAAGCACCCTGTTATTAAGCTGGTTATTAAGACCAGCTGCCTGCAATTACTGCAGGTTCGAATCTCACCAAGGCTCAAGGTTGACTTAGCCTTCCATCCTTTCTAAGGTAGGTAAATTGAGGACCCAGTTGTGGGGGCAATAAGCTGACTTTGTATAAATATACAAAAGGATGAAGGCTATTGCTGAGCACATTGTAAGCCGCCCTGAGTCTCCGGAGAAGGGCGGCATATAAATCAAATTTTAAAAAAAAAAGTGTTGGAAAAACACAAATATACCCTCAGAAGACTTAATAATTAAAAAAGTCTTGGACTGCGTTGAAATGGACAAGATGACACTAGAGTTGAAAGGACTGATTGATTTGGAATATTATATAATATGGGAGAAGTGGTATAAATGGATTGAGAATAGAAAAAAAATTAGATAAAGTAGGATTGAATTTAGTTAGAATGTATAGCATATAAGTGAAATATAGTAATATGTCATGTAAATGGTCACAGTTATGCCCAAACTTTCTTCTGAGTATTTTAATTGTTGAAAATCAATAAAATATTTATTAAAAAAAACAAATAAAATAATAACTTCCCAGATGTGATTTTCCGCACTATAGGGAAATAACCTGTAAAGAGGACACAAAGTTGCACATCTTCCCATCTCTATTAGATCCATTACTGATCCTCATGCAACCATTGTGAAAGTCTGAATGTATGGTGTAGGACAGAGGTTTCAAACTCAAGGCTCGGGGGGCAGATTAGGCCCACAGGATGCTTAGATCTGGCCAGCAGGGCCACCCTGAAAACAGCGAAGGACCAGCCCACAATGCCTCTACCAGCAAAAACAGAGCTCAGGAGGGCTGCATGCGGCCCTCCCGAGCTCTGTTTTCGCTGGCAGAGGGTTGCAGGAGGCCGTCACAACCGAAAACGGACCTTAGGAGCCCGTTTTCTCTGGCAGAGTGCTCAGGCCACCACAAGTGCCCCTGACACGAGTGACATCAAGCTGGCCATGCCCAGCCCAGCAAAGCCCCCACCCCAAGCTCAAACACAACCCTGATGCAGCCCTCAATGAAATCGAGTTTGACATCCCTGGTGTAGGATCAATTTGAATAATTAGATTGGTTGTTCTCAAACTGCACAAATTAGAAATTTCTCTACAATACGCAGTGACGCCTTTTTCCAAATCTGTTCAAAACTCTGAATTGATCTGATTCAAATTAGATTCAAATCACTGGACCCATAGGCGCTAATTTTCCAAATCAAATCACATTTTGCTTGATTCCGCAATTTAATGTATGCCACTTCAACTAAGTATAGTACTTGCATTGCCAGTTGTAAGGAATATCTAAAGTATGTTTCATTTCCACACTTTAATTTTACTTTATTAAATATGAGAACATATTCAATCCATGTTGCTAATAATCTTTTCTAACTTAAATACCCTGAAAACTCTATCATTTATTTAATTATTCATAATTAACTGCAATAACTTTCATTATTCAATTTCCTTCTTGTCTTTCTCTTCTTTAAAATGTATAATTAAATAAACTATCCAATAAAACTGCAAAAAAGTCTAATTAAAAATATACTCCCCCATCCCAAAATAAGAGAGGGAGGGAGGGAGGGAGGGAGGGAGGGAGGGAGGAAGGAAGGAAGGAAGGAAGGAAGGAAG